CAAAATAAAGCACACTTTCCTTCCCATCAACCTCGCCTCTTTATTAGCTTTTCAGTGGCGAGCAGCCGGACCCCACTTTCGGTTACACAAGGACGCAATTCTTGATTGCTACTCAAGCTCCTTTTTGTTCTGCGGTCAGTTATTCATTCACTCAAGCTTCTTTGTATGTCCAATATGTGTTCATTTCTTTGCTAAGTGCTGGGGATGCAAAGACAAGTACGGCATGGTTTCTGCTCTCCAGTCTAGCACGAGAGAAAGACTTGCAAACAAGTAATTCCAGTACAATGTGCTATGAATCATGATAAAGGAATGTGTGTGGTGCACTAAGAATACAGAGTAGGGACAGCCAGCATGTCTTGGGAGACTCTGGAAAGAGAACTGGAAGGCACTAAATGTCTCTTTTAATTGACCCCCTTCCTCAGACAATGTCTGGGGAAATTTGCTAACCTTTCTTTTTCAAACTAGGTAATAATAACAGTATGAACTTCTTGGACTCTAAATCCTAACAATAGGAGTTATACTTTTCTTTTTTGAGTAAAAGGGGCCCACTGTTTGCCAAGGAGCCATTTGGGACAGCCAAACGCGTTTCCAACATCAGGAGTGAGACCACTGCCATTTTGAAATCAAGGAAAGTGTCAGTATAGTTTGCAAAGAGTTTTTCTGAGACTTGTAAGTGAAGGAATCTCTAATACGTCAAAATCAATCTCTGACTTTCACCTACAATATACGACAAACAAAACTGGATACTCCAGTCTCCCGGACGACGCATTGCATCTTCAGGGTACCGTTCAATCCCTGATTCCTCAAGGAGGTAAAGCCATCAATGCTGGGTAATAGGAACACCTACCGTCCTTGGTTTCACTCGGATGGATGTCAATGGAAACATTCCACTTTCCGAGAGCTGCACTTCTGATTGAGTCATCCCAGAATAATAACTCCAATGATGGGGAGACGTGCTTACTATTATCACAGAAACATACCCACATCCACGGATTCATGTGTATACTGAACACAGACTTCCAGTAAAGCCAGACTACTGGCTGAGAAGCACCTTAGTTATGCTGGGGCATGTATGTCCTAGGTTATGTGGACCTTAATGCCAATATCAGATTTGACATTGGCTGAGAAAGTCTCAACCAGGAAGACAGCACCAAGGCCTGTCAGAGCAACTACAGGTCAGATCTCTTGGTCAATGTCAAATTTCCTTTTGGACAGAGGTCTCATAAATGTCGTCATCAGGCATGTCATATCCAGCAGGGTCCACGTTGCCCTGCATGGTGTTAAGAGAACTAGTACCGAGGCAGCTGATAAAGCTGTTGATCTGTTTTCTTTATTTTTTAATAAATTTATTTATTTATTTATTTTTGGCTGTGTTGGGTCTTCATTGCTGTGCGCGGGCTTTCTCTAGTTGTGGCGAGCAGGGACTACTCTTTGTTGCAGTGCACGCGCTTTCATTGTGGTGGCTTCTCTTGTTGCAGAGCACGGGCTCTAGGTGCGCGGGCTTCAGGAGTTGTGGCTCGCGGGCTCTAGAGCACAGGCTCAGTAGTTGTGGCGTACAGGCTTAGTTGCTCCGCGGCATGTGGGTTCTTCCCAGACCAGGGCTCGAACCCACATCCCCTGCATTGGAAGGTGGATTCTTAACCACTGCGCCACCATGGAAGTCTCTCTGTTTTCTAAATTTAATTTCCTAAATAACAATTGCTAGCATTCACGAGAAGGTGCTTTCAGGAACCGAAACAGTGATGACATGTTCCCTGCATAAATGAATCAGATGAGATGATAAGACCTCGGTATTGCAAAACTTAGGTGGGTCACGTGGAAACACAGCATAGTTCTATTTTTAAAGAGCTCTCATTATCATAGCAAAACTAAGAAATTCTCTCCGCTTGTGAAGAAGCATCCTGCTTACTTACACGGTGTCCAACACGACTCCAAAGCAACCCCTGAAAGCCCAAGGTGGACACTATACTCAATTCCCTTTAGAAGGAAAACAGCCTCCCAAAGCCTCAGTTCCTTATCAGCAGGAGATGGTATAATTTATCATCCAAACCAGGGCACGTGAGAGGGAAAGGGGGTGGGCTTATCAGCTGGGTCAGTGGGCAACAGGTGTCAGCTGCAACTGTCCTGGGTAAACAAAAAGTTACCCCAGTTGTCAGAAACAAGCTTGTTGGTTCCATTCAGTCATTTTTGCCCCTGACTACACATTAGAATCATCTTTGGAGAAAACAGACATACACAAGCATACACCTATACCTACATATGCATACACATGTTTACATGCACAAATACATACGCATATACATATACTGAGATGTCTAAGCCCTACTGCAGACGAATTAAACAAGATTTCTAAAAATGGAGTGAATCTTGGGCATCGACAATTTTTAAAAGCTCCCCCAAGTGATACAAACAAGCAGCTGGGCTGAGAACCACTGAACTGGACACTCTCCAAGGCTTTTCCAGATCTCAAATTCTGGGAGTATAATTCCTGAGAAGGAAGTTCCCGCCCTTGCTATGGTCAAACTTTTAGTCTCCTTTCTAGAACACAGAATATTTCATACCAGTACGATAATAACCAACACGTATTTATGAAGAGTTTATACTTTACAAACCACTTTCTCAACATCATCTTTTTTTTTTTTCCCTCACATTAACTCCATGAGAAAGTCAGGTTGGTTATTATTGACTTTCTACAGGTGAGGAAATTGAGGTTTCAAAGATCAAATACACAGGTACCAGGTGTCTTCTACAAGAAGCATAGGGAATAACCATGCCCACATCTTGATTAGCAACGGCAGCAGACAGGAGCAGGTGCCTGGGATTCCTGCCACACGGGTCTGAATTCCACTTCTATCATTTATTAGCTTGATAAGCTGGGGCAAGTTACTTAACCTCTGCAAATATCACATCTAAAATTAAAATAATGCCAATGCTCTTGTTCTGTAGCGCTGTGGGAAGTACTGCGTGGGAGTTACATGGCAGACCTTAGCCCCATGTCAAGGAAACAGTAACGACTGTATCATTGCTTTTGTTGCTGTTACTGTTACTCCTCGTCCTCTTCACCCTCCTTTTACTGCTATAACTATTACTATTACTACTACTGCTGCTAGAACTAATAACAATCATCCCTGCTATAAGCAGAGTCACTGGCCCTGCAAAGAGACAACCTTAATCACAGGAAAACCCTTTGAGCTAATCTCTACCCTCTTCCCACATACTCTGCCCCCAAACCAAAAGGAACATGAGTGTTCTTCAAATGAGACACTCTGTAAAATCAGACACCCCCAGCCATGTAACAATGTTGAGCTATGGAAGTCTTTGGTATACACAGCAAACCGTCAGACTCTAGACAGATGCTCAGCTGGATTTAGAAACCGGGGTGAGAGCAGCCTTGCAGATGTGCTACACGAATGTGCATTCGAGGAAGAACCTATTGGGTTGGCCAAAAAGTTCGTTTGGGTTCTTCCGTAACATCTTACAGAAGACACCTAACGAACTTTTTGGCCAACCCAATATTTATCAGCTGCAAGGAGCACACTTAGCTGGCAGCCTCCAGTGGCAGCCCCCTGGGGTCTGCTCCCGTGTTTAAATGGAAGCCCCACACTTTGGGGGGAAGCCCCCCGCCTTTCCCCATTGATGGAGTATGGTCATCAGTACGAGGGTCTGGCCATTTCTGCCCAGTGCCTTGCTACTCGAGGGCCATCTTTGCACTGCAGCTGCCGCTGGACCAGGAATGCAATCTGTGGTTCTTCGTCCTCCATCCCCCCTTTCACAGTATCCGATTACACTGTGGTATAAAGACCTTCTGGTGAAAAATAACCCAAAGCAGCCCCATACATGTCAAACAACGCTGTCAAGGACGGTGGGGTGGTACCTATACAACTGAGAAACAGTGAAAACAATACAAAATGCTTTGTTCCAGAACTGTGTTATTTCATGACTTTCTAAGAGGTTATTTGGAAAGCTCTATGGAGTTAGGAAATATGTCTGACCTGTCTCTCTAATGAAGTGCCTACAACATGAGGCTTAAAAAAAGTGATTATGGACCATGTTCTATTCATGTCGTCTTTGTTTTGCAAATTAAATTTGTTATGCCACATGAGCTCAAAGATATGAATATTTTAATAATGCCAGATCTATAAATTGCAAGAAAAAGGAATTAGAATTTTAAAATGCATTCAGTTTCAAGGAATTGGATTTCTTGAGGATATATTTTTCACCTACAGAGAAAAGGTGTTCTAAATTACTGTGTTTCCATTGTAACCATGTAATTTCATTCTCATTTTGGTAATTCATATTTTTCAACACAGTGAAAACATTAAAAACAAGCAAAAGCTAAATGGTAAACTAGTTTAAAATACTAGTTGGACCTAGTAATCTAAATGCTCTTAACGTTAATATTATTATGGTTAAGGATAATCACAATAAAATAGTTACCATGTGACAAAAGGTATTCTATACTCTTTGCATGTATTAATCCATTTGGCTTCAGAAACATTTTAAGTATAATCATTACCTTCTTATACACATTGACAAACACTTTATAGGTTATTTGATCTGGTAAATTACGTATTTTTAATGTTAGTATTGTTATGGTTGAAGATAATAATTATGCAATAGTTAAACAGTTCTTACTATGTAACAAACAAAATTCTAGGCTCTCACATATATTAACTCACTTAGCTTCATACACATTCTATAATTTAGGTGTAATCATTACCCATGATGTATGAATTAAGGAACTGAAAAACAGAGAGGTTAAGTAACCTCCCCAAGGTCACACAGCTACACGTGGTGCACCCTGGATTTGAACCAGTCTGCATGAACCAGGAAAAGAAATGCCGCCTTACCTTAAGCCACATCAATTAAACTTTCAGTCTGTGTGTCTGTATGTAAATGCACACGCAAACTGAGTACTTTTAAATCAAACTGATTTGACTTCAGCAAATGCATCTGAATTTTAAAATCCAAACGAGTATGGTCTTTGTCAGAGTACTCACCCTGAGTATCCGAGGCACGCTCAGTGTGCTTTGGCAGCCGCCTCTCTTGTTCAAATGAGTCTCTCACCTCGCGGAAGAGCTCCTGCAAGTGATGAAATGAATCAGCAAAAGCTCCACAAGAAAAGCCAGCTCAGCACTCAGACCTGTCTGGATCTAGGCCAGAACCAGAATTTTCCAGCTGTGCATCAATCATTTTGTCAGACCTCTTGCACAGTCAATCATCAGTAAATAGTCATTAAGTACCTACTGTATGCCGTTCCCTCAGCTAAATCCCAGAGCTTTTAAAAGGTAAGTATGACTCTACTGAACTAGCAGTATTCACAGAAAAAGAATCCAATTTATATCAAATATTTATCATTTGGCCCTCTACGGGATAGTCAGTAAAATACCCTAAACTTTTGAAGACGATTCCAAAAAAAAAAAAGAGCTGCCTGCCTTTTCTGTGACTATGATGCAGTCCTGATCATGTACTTTTTTCCAGTTTTACTGAGACAGAACTGACATACAGCACTGTGTAAGTTTTAAGATGTAGAACATGATGGTCTGACTTACACACATCATGAAATGATGACAATATGTGTAGTGAAGATGCATCATCTCATATATTAGATACATTAAAGAAACAGAAAAAATACGCATTTTTTCCTTGTGATGAGAACTCAGGATCTATTCTCTTAACGATTTCATATAAAATGTGCAGCAGTGTTAATTATCTTTATTATGTTGTACACTACATGCTTATTACTTATCTTACAACTGCAAGTTTGTACCTTTCCACTGCCTTCATCTCATTCCCCCTCTTGCCACCCCCCACCTCATAATCACAAATCTGATTTTCTTTTTTCTTTTTTTTTTTTGCAAGTTAAGTTTTATTTGGGGTGAAATGAGGACTGCATCCCAGGAGACACTGTTTCAGACAGCTCTGAGAGTTAAACTGCTCCGAAGAGGCAAGGGGGGAGCCAGGCAGTTTTGCAACAAAGGGCAGGTAGTCTGAATGTCATAAGATTATTGTTAATTAACGAAAACCAGACATCTCAAGTTAAAGAATTTAGGGCTTTTCTATGTATGGGAAGATGCAAGAGTCTGGGCTCACTGAAATCCTTCCTTTGATAGGCACCTCAGGATCTGGGGCCAGTATCCTGTGTTTTCATATCCTGAGTTTCCTCAGGGCTCACCGCGGGGAGTGGCTGCTGTCTGATGGCTGCTAGATGGCAGGTATTCTTCCCTTCCTGAGTTCCCTCAGGGCTCACCCTCTCACCTGGCTGCAATCACTGATGACTGTGACATCCTTTGTTTACTGATAGGGCAGGAAATATCCGATTTCTCAAATCATCCTCTTGGTCAGGAATTCGACCAATACTTGGGAGACACGCATGACCAAATTTAGTCCCATGGTGCTGGGAGGCTCATCCCAGATCAGGAGAAAACTCTTGTTGATATGCCACTCCAGGTGCTAATTTCCAGATTAGGCCCTGTTGATAATTAAAGATTCTCTGGATCCTCTGTCTGTTATGATCCAGGAAATGTTCTCCCTTATTGCTTCTTCCCATACCTAGAACCACATTATTACAATTATTTTATAAGACTCATAAATGTGATCTATTTCCTCAAGATGTTTAGTCATCATCAATTTTGTTGGAGACCTGGTTACACACTGGGTACTGTTTAAGAGACAACAATCTTATAAAATAGACAGGATGTAAGTAATGCAGCTAGTAACACTGACAAAGCCATAGTGTAGCAGGGAGACATAAAGCACAAACAATTTGGAAACAAAGAACAAATTAAAACACTGATTAGTATAACTATTTGTAATCCAGTTGCAATAAACCCTCAAGTCCACAGGAGAGCCAGCTGGAGAAGCCAAATTCTGGCAAGTCTGAACTCTTTTTCTATGAGTCTGTTTGTTCTTGAAGTATAATTGACCTTCAACACTATGCTAGTTCCTGCTACACAACGCAGTGATTTGATACTTCTATACATTTCAAAATGATCACCATGATTAGTCTGGTTACCATCCGTCACCACACAAAGATATTATATAATTATTGACTCTCTGATGAATGCACTTTTAAACTCTTTACCCATCCTGTGAAATTCCATTGGCAGGATACAGCTCAGGAGTCATGCTGCTTTAACACGTGACCTGACCCCAGGGACTGGGTTAGGCAGGATTCCACATCACTGGTGCCACCTTAATTTAACGCTTACACTCCTGTCTTGCAATGGCTGGTGTCATCTTTTCTCCCTCATTAGACTGTAGCCTACCTGCCTCATTCATTATTATATCCACGGGCCTGTGAAAATGCCAACACACAGAGCACTCACAGGTGAATATTGCTGTAAAAATACATTCATAGATTAAGGAGACAGTTAATAACCTCTCAACAAGACTGTGTGGAATGAGTTCAAAGTATGAGCTCTGACGGGTGTTAAAAAAATCTATCATACTACTTTATGGACAGTCTTGCTCTTCGTCCATTTGATACTTCTAGCACTGACACCCATGGCATGTTGTAATTTATAAATTTAGTAAGACACAAGTTCAGACAGCATTGTTAAAGCTGTTGGGAAGACATCATTTAGGTGGTGAAAAAGCCTAGCAAATAATCAAACATTGACATCTAATATAATCTTTCTTCTCTTTATATCATTCACAAGGGCACACTATTATGCTTTAAAATGATTTCACAAGTCTAGGTTATTGATAAGATGTCTGGAAGCAAGATATGCAAACAGGAGTCTTACATACATTTAATATTAGGTCACTGTATCATCAATAAAGTTATTGGCAGTTACTGGGTTAGATTATCTCATACTGATGGCTTTTTATATAATGTTTCATACTAAGTTTGAGATAGAAATCTCTAGACAGTAAATTATACATTATATGTGCCTATGTGTGTTGGGAATATACATCATACATATTAATTTTACATGGGTAGTCATTACTTTATCTAAATTTGTATTTGTTTGTATCCTTTAAATTTTCTATGAAGAATATGTGTTTCTTTAGAAATAAGACAAATATTTTATTTCTTAAAAAACTAAACTCTTACAGGAGTAGAAGTAACTCACACTTCTTTTGTGAAATAATGATTCCCCCTTGAGTGTGCCTGTGTATATCCATATACAAACATAGTTCAAAAGCCTATTTTCATGACCTAGAAGTTACATTAGCAATAGCTCTAATTATGAGAGCTCATTAACAGGAAATTATACTAGTTAATATAGAAATTATACTTTTTTTTTTTTTTTTTTTTTTGCGGTATGCGGGCCTGTCACTGTTGTGGCCTCTCCTTTTGCGGAGCACAGGCTCCGGACGCGCAGGCTCAGCGGCCATGGCTCACGGGCCCAGCCGCTCCACAGCATGTGGGATCTTCCTGGACCGGGGCACGAACCCGTGTCCCCTGCATCGGCAGGTGGACTCTCAACTACTGCGCCACCAGGGAAGCCCCTGGAAATTATACTTATTTTTAAAATTAGTTTTCCTCACTAAAAAAAATAAGTTCATAAAGTAGACTCTAAGGAACGGCTATTTAGAACCTCAATGAACATTTTAGATACAAATAAACATAGAAACAGTCTGAACAAGTAACATACTCTGTAGCCATTTGACTTTTATTCAGGACAGAACCTAATTCATCTACCTTTAAATCAATCAGTACTCTATAAAGGTGAAGGAGGCAAGAGATGAGAGGGACAGAAATGACCATATTAATCTCAGCTTTCTTTTTTTTTTTTTTAACATTTTCATTGGAGTATAATTGCTCTACAATGGTGTGTTAGTTTCTGCTTTATAACAAAGTGAATCAGTTATACATATACATATGTCCCCATAACTCTTCCCTCTTGCATCTTCTTCTTTTGAATGTTTACATATTTGATTTTATATCGCGGTTTCGGCCACGTCTCAAGGAAGGCACACAGAGCATGTGTGCCCTTTGATGCACTGTAGACTCAAGTGGATGATGATAACTGGGTCTGAAAGCTGACTGCCTTCTCTTTGGAGGTGATGTGGGGAATGATATAGCACAGGCAGGGGAGTCTGCTGGTTTCTAACTGGACTAGGGCCATGTTAAACTGAGACCTCCCTGGCACTCCCAACCCTGGGAATTGGGGCTTCTCTCTGCCATTTACATCCTTCTGGGATCTGCGGTGTCTCACTCACATCAGCCAGCAGGGGGTAGCCTGTAGACAGTTATAGAAAACAATAAACTCGGACCATGTGAGGAAACCTATTTTCACGTATGGGTCGGTTCCATCTGGCATTACGTTTGTGGGATTTTGCACGTCATCTTGCAGGATGCAGGCCCACTCTTCTGAAAGTCACTCAGTAACTAAAGGCAAACATTTCTGAGAATCTGCTGTGCTTAATTGCTACTATCCCTTTAATCGAGTTCCTTGGACAAAATCAACAATCAGAAGTTGTCTCAACACTTTGACAGCAGCCAATGAATAACCGGGGGAAGGGAAACTATAAGATAGTGATAATAGTCTCTCAACAGTGTGCACTAAAACAACCGCAGTTTACTACTTCCCAGTAAAACAGCTAAGGGTACAGCTTTGCCCTCTGACGAACCTGGGTCTCTTTCCTTCGCTCCCTCTATTTGGCCAGGTAATCTGGGGAAAGTGCTTCAGCGTGTGTGAGGCCACTTTCTCTACCTGCTTCAGAGCATTTATTGTGGAGATGGAGATGAGGAACATAACACAATTAGCAAAGGCTCTGGCACACAGTATGGGCTCTGTAACTATTACCTCATTACTATTAATTATGATTATTCTTCATGCACAGGACATTTAATCCAGTGCAAAGGTGCAGCAGAAACTGTCAGGAGTATCTGTCCAGCCCACGAGCCTCCAGGCCTTGAAGCCCATCCCTCGCCATTCCTCATTGCTTGGACCAGGGATGGATCCTGATACACATTTGGTCAAGCATATATTCCCTCTACCGGACACGCAGCCTAGAGGGAAAGGGAGGCTATTCTTTGTGCCGTTTGGCTGAACTGAGGGGCTCCCACGTTTGGTCACGTGCACCTTGAGAAGCAGAGAGAGCAGATCTCCTGAGAGGAAGGGAAATAC